AACATGGAACACAAAACTGAGTGTGCTGATGCATGGGTGGAAATAATAATGAGGATATTTTCGTAGGATTTTGTGCTTTATTCAAATCTCCAAATAATAAAGACTGGAGTTCGGGGACATTTTTAAGTGTCTTGCTAAAATTAATTGAATATACAAATTTCAGGTTGACTTTAGAATGACACTAGGACTACACAGGTCTCATAATATCTGTGTATAAAGAAAAACTAATACACCTTCTTGTTAAGTAAATTCTCAGTCCTATATTATGCAAAATGGGTTGTTGTGAGCTTTTTGTTAGAATGTTGTTAACTCATCAAAAACATACCTGGAGTTTTGTTTTGTTTCATTTACACATTTGCATAATCTTTTTTATTGGTCTGTCTACATCTCCAAAGCTCAAAATGTTCTGTTCCACCTTGTGATGTCATGAAGCAGTAGTTTTCACGTTACCATTTATCTTTAGTTCAATAGAGATATGTAACCTGATTCATCAGCTGGTTTCACTTTGTGGAAACCGTCTGACCTCGCTGCATTAGGATTCATTTGCACGATGGTAGGTGGGTACTTTTTTATTTAACCGATCGCTGCTATTTGGTCGTGATGTATGTAATGCGCCACTAACGGGGCTAAATGGTATATTAAGCTTTTCCCAAATCCTGCAGGAAGAAGGGCAATAACATCTTTCCCCTTGATAAAATTCACCAAATATTCTTTGTTCCGTCTTTAAATCCTCGATCTCAGTTGCCAACACAGAATGTATGGCTCTTCGCTGATTGGCTCGTGCCCAGACTTGCACTTCCGGGGTTCTTGCAAACCGTCTAGTGTATTCTGATTCCTGACCTAGTCGCTGGAGAGAAATGAAGTTGAGCAGAGGCACTAGATGGCGCAAGCCTGGCTAAGAAATTGGCAATTCCAGGGTTGAAATTATCCAAATGATTCTAATGAAGGTGAATGTAGTTTAAAAACACATGGAGCACCTGTATTGCCACATGACATCACAAGGTGGTTTGAGAGAAAAACTCAGCCTAAATATGCAGGATTTGTGTCTTAAACAAATATGAAACAAAACAAAACTCCAGGTATGTTTATGATGAGGAAACAACATAACATCAGAAAATAGTGTAATATACGTAAATTATGGGTCAAGACTATCTTAGCTGCAAGATTTTGCCTATTGTACATGTTTTGGATTGGGAATAAGACATGAGTAATAATACAGACACTAGTAGAATAAGCAAACAGAAACACCAGGAATACCTGCATGACTATACCCTGGGACCATCTTGTTGTGAGGTGAGAGTGCTAACAGCCCTGTAAATGCTTAGTGTAATATTAGTTTTGTTTTGATGTGTGTTTTTCATCAGTGCCTGCCCCCCACAGCTCCCCCTTCTGTCATGGCCCCATAATGCACTGCTGCTGCTGTGACTGATGCAGTGAGACCAGATCCACTGTTTACAGATGAGCCGCTGCCTCCCAGAGTCTGTGATCATTATTTTGACTTATCGTCAGTGAAGTTTAGTTTCTGTCTCAGTTTTTTTATTCACCAAGAGCCAAAGGGCAAAGAGAGGAACCATATTAAGATAGATTCTCGCGAGTGGGCGATGCAGTCAGACTTAAACTGCTACAATTGTGCAGAAGAAAATGGTAGAAATGCAAAATACAAAAAATACAAAAAAAGCCACACACTGAAACTTCTGTTTCCATAGCGATGTTATTGCTTCAACTACAGCATGGCATTAAACTTTGATTAGATCGACCAAGTTACAGGTCAGATCTCTGGAGGTGTGGAGGCTGTTTACAATAAGTTTTCAGGGATTTTTTTTTTTTGCAATAAAACAGATAGATAGATGTGCTTAATAGTATACAATGGCACACCTTTGGCATTCTGTGGAAAGTTACTAGAAAAGTTCCATAGTGCAGCTTTAAGTACTTACTGTATTTCCTGTATACCTGCTTAAACAAGTATGTAGTTTCAGTCCTATTTTTTTGTATCAATTAGTATCTGATTTTATACACTTTTCACAACTAAACTGGCCAAAGAACAGTTTTGTGTGATGAAGGTTTAAACTTAATGAGACATTCAGAGCTAACGAAGGCCAGTAAATTCAAATTACTCTGCCAAAACAAAAGTATAAAAGTAGTAAGATGGCAATAAAGTAATTCTTGTAGATTTTGCTCAGTAAAATTGAGTAGGAAAAGTCAAAAGTTTGTGTTTTTCAAAAGTCACAGAGACATAATTTTTTCGAAACTCTGAAAAGTAATTTCTAGCTAAACATTTCTGCACAAACTTTGAATGACTTGGTAATTTTTTTTTGCATTTTAGACCATTTGGAAAGGGACACATTGTCTTTGTAATAACTTTGCACACTTTCAGTATTTGACTATTTGAGCCAGTACTCACCATTATTCTTTAATTGTTTTGATTGTGCAGTCTAAATAAGCAGCTAAATGAGTCTGTGAGCCACTGCTGTCCCATCTAAAGAGGGATTGAGTCCAGTAGCAGTGTTTTTCTTGTGGGCCTAAGTAGTAGTCTGACATGTAAAGATGGATGATATTTAGTTTAGCTAATGCTGTACATGCTGTAGCTATGAAGTCATTTCAACACCATTTAAATCAACTAACCCGGGCGTCATTATCCTGGCCTAGTCCATATAAAGAGTCAGTCTGGTCTCCAAGTTAAATATAGAATAGATAACAGACGACTAAGACTTTTACGAAAACAAGTGGAGAGCCTTAAAACTGGTTGAACAATGGGAAATCAACCAACCAAGTGCCAGCAAAAAAAAAAAAAAAAAAAATCACTTTCAAGGAATTTTGTCAGGAATAGGCAGGTTTGTAACTTTTATTTATTCATTTATTTAATTTCAAGGTGGACTGTGTAACTTTTCCGTCAGAGTACACAATACCTCCTTGTCTCCATGGAGATGTTATTGTTTTGCCCGGAATGTTCCACAGTAGTAAGATATCAACGGTGTAATAAAGTGAAACATACAAGAAATGAAGAGCATCTGCCTTTATACATTCATACACTTTAAAACATTTCATTTAAATCACAAGATATCTGCTCTTTTATGCAGTTACGTCATTTTCTTTTTCATAATGAGTAGTTTTTTGTGTATTTCTAAACGCCATTATTGTTCTCCATTGATTTATCATTTCTTTTTTATTTCATTATAGAATATAGTTTTACTGCGCAAAAATCCATGCATTCTAACTGTTAAGGAGCTTGCCTGGCCACAGACATGACCTGTAACTTGACCCAGTGGCACCATCTGCTTGTCCTGGTTAGATTAATGCCACTGTGGAGTATTATAAAGAATCTTCATGGAGATTTGCGAGCAGCAACTTCGCAAAACTAATGCAAGCTTTAATGTGATAAAACTTTGCAAAATTGTCTGGATTAACACTAAAATTACAACAAGGAACATTCAAGGTTAATTTGGACAACTGCATTCTTAATTTTCAAAACTAATTAGATGTATTGTTTCATTCTGAGAAAACTTAATGATAAAATGCTGAAATAGCTTGTGAACTTGTGAAAAGCTATCACTGTTGTTGTTTCCTCAGCATAATTAAGTTATTTTGCTCACAGTCTCACAGAGATAATTGACTTTCTCACAATGGTAAAACAGGACGCACAAGACATTATCCTGGAACTTGGCATATCCTCGAGCTGAAAAATTTGGGGAAAATATCTAATTGCAATTTTGTGACAAGCATTGCTGTTGCGGTTACATTTGAGATGACGTTTTAATTATAGGACTCTGTTCAAAGTTCACATTTAAAGGCATCCAGGAGACTTGACACAAAGACTAATACAAGAATGAAATTTCAGAACATGCTTGTACAGATCTAGAGAGACAATCAGGTGACGGGTCCACAGTGTTGGGGAGAAACAGATTACATGAACCAGAGTTACGTAATCAGAGTACAAATTATGAGTAACTGTAATCCAATTACCACTCATTGAAACAGTAACTGTAACCAAATACAGTTACTCTGTTGGAATAAATGGACTGCACGGCGGTATTTTCCTGTTTTCACATTTTAGGCTAAACCAGGTCTAAACCAGGTCTAAACCAGGACTGAAACAGGACTAAACCAAGATTTAACAGGACTAAACCAGGTCTAAACCAGGACTGAAACAGGACTAAACCAAGATTTAACAGGACTAAACCAGGTCTAAACCAGGACTAAACTAACAGGACTAAACCAGAATTTAACAGGACTAAACCAGGACTAAACCAGGTCTAAACCAGGACTAAACCAGGACTGTAACAGGACTGAAACAGGATTTAACAGGACTAAACCAGGACTAAACCAGGACTGAAACAGGACTAAACTAGAATTTAACAGGACTAAATCATGCTGTGTGAACCGTGTCTCCTCCTCTTCTATCAATAATATTTTTAATTTGGTTGAGTAAAGTCTGGGCTTTTTTATTGTCTTTTAGCAGACAAAACATTTTATGTTATGATATCCTAGTCTTTGTTACTCTACAGCAAATCAAGTAATCTAAAGTATTCAGATTACATTACTCACTTTAAGTAATTTAATGGATTCCGTTTAAAAACTACATTTTGGGGTATATAATCTGTAATCTGTAGGGGAATACATTTTAAAAGTAACTTTCCCAACACTGCGGGTCCATCACCAGAAAGGTTACACAGTGCTCCTTTAAGATTGTGTTTTGTAATCCTGTTTAGTGCTAAATTATTTATTCTCTGTCACTGCGCTTTCATGCACACCAGAAAACTCAGACTCTCACTATGATGAACAACACACGGCAATCACACTAAGAGCAGAGTGGGAGAGGCATTCAACTGCACAGGGTAATAATGAGGCCGGACAATCCCAGAGGAGTGACGTGGAGTGCACCTCACACAGGATATTTTGTTGTTTATGAAGGAAATTATGGTATTTGGGTAATTGTATTTTCTATTTGATTTCAGTTGGTCTTGCTCTATACCTTTTCTCTTGTGTATCTGATTGCGTCTCACCTGATGAAGTATGTTAGGTTGCACCAGTACTGGGGCTGGATCAGAGCCATGTCCTTTTTGAAGTGCTCCCCACAGATCTCCACCTCCCACTGCAGACGGGACTCGTTACACACCCGAGGAGGAGGCGGTGGTGACGTGGGCCCCAGCGTCTCTGCTCCTGAAGACAAAACGTAACTTTAAAGGTGCATTGTGGAACATTGTAGATGAATTAATGTCCTGCCAAACTAAGCAAACCGGATGGACTGTGTGACTTATGGAAAATAATTTGTGCCATTAGATTAAAATAATAATAATTATAATAATAAATTCAAAACCTTATGAAACAAATTTTCTTTCATAGTAACTTTTCTGTTGGAGGATGTGCCACCTTCTTGTCTCCATGGAGATGTTACAGCTTTACTTTAAATGTTCCAAATTCAATGTGTCTATCTTACATTTATTCAGTTACAGGTGTTTTATTGCTTGAAAAACATCCATTCTCAATGTTAGCAGATCTGACCTTTAACTTCACCTAGTGGCGTCACCTGCTTGTTGTCATGGCAATAGATTAGATGTCATTGTGTGAAACCTTTCAGGCAAAGCAATAACATCCCTATTAATGGCCTGTTCACACAAGAATGCTTGCAGGGATAAAAATGACAAAATATTTTATTGGAAGCGCCTTTCATTTAGACAGTGACGGCTTTTTTGGGGCTTAAAAGCACAAAAATCTGAAATCGCCTTCCAGAGTGGAAAAGTTTAATACGATCCGCCGTAGCATCTACACTGTCCAAGATGCAAAACTCCAGTCAGATCTGCTCACGTCGCGTATGTATTTACGTCACATACATACAGTACATAGAAACCTGGCACGCATACTCAATTGAATTCCACACACTTTTGTGTCACTGTATGCAGGCAGATTTCCTCCAAAAAATGCTCGTCTAAAGGTGGAATAAAAAGTGAAGACGCAACGTCACTTTTGCATCTTCTGTACAGACTGTCATTATATAAATGTAGCCTTAGTCTAACTTCTAAAAGCCTGCATAGAGCACATTTTAATAGGCCATAGCAAAAGGCCTATCCATATTAGTAGTATATACTAGCAGCTATTGATACTTTGCAGCTGATGTCATTGTTATTCCCTGGGGGTGTGATGCTAACTGTGGGCACTACTCTGTCTGAAGCTCTGTTAAACTATTATGTGATTTGCTTTAACACAGTTTCAACAGTTTTTCACTCTTTTGTTGAAAATCAAACACCTAAACAGGACCACCCATGAACGCTTGTATTGACTGATGATTGGAAGAAATGTGTTGTTTAAATCCATTTTATATTTTTACTTGAGCTTTCAGACTGTCTATTCATCACTGCTACCTGCAAAAACAACTTTGATTTTCCATACTGAAATATTATCCTCAATATTATTATACATTTAATCAAAAACAGATTCTTACCTGACACTCCTCTCATCATCCAAGCGTTTACTGCAAAGAAAAAGAAACACAAATGTTACTGTCAAATCCATAGCACTGCCTTTGCAAGTTTCCAGTGAGGTTCTTGTAGTACTTTGCAGCTCCTGGTCTGAATGCTAACAGCCTCATTGCATTGTTAGTGTGGAAAAACATTGTGCACGGGTCAAAGGTCAGGGCGGAGGTTCGCAGCGGGACAGTCCTGGTGCAGCGTGGGTAATCTGAGGCCAGTGCACGGCTCCACACTGAGACGGACAGAGGGTGTTGATTGGATTCATGATTAAACTGACATGTGAGAAGTATTTTAAAAGCAGTTCCCTCTAGCAACTCATAACAGTTCTTCGTTTATTTTTACATCTGAAGTGATGCACACCTAAAGTTTTGTTATTAAGTTTGTTTATATTTTAGCAAGATATTTCAGGATTAAAATAACGAACCACATGAGAAACTTATCCCAGAACATTTTAAATATTAATGAGATCCATACCAGATAAACTAATCCACAAGCTTCTGAAAGTTATTAAAAAATGTCAAGGCTGAATTGTTGCATTAAGGACTGTGTTAGGCTCGGTTATAACAGGTGGACAGATTAACAGAACAGGGCATAGGAGACAAATGACATTGAAAATAAAATAAAAAATACAATTGCTTTGCTAATACCTTTAGTAATTTAAACAGTATTGGTCCTTGGTGGTCAAATGTGTGGCATACGTTCAATCGAAAGGGCTAAAATAGAAGTCGCTACAGTAACAAGAACAATATTCTCAATAAAAATTGGCACTATACATCACATTTAAATCTTTTTAAATAAGCAATGGTTTTAATATGGTATATGTGTGTACATCTATGGTTAAAATAGTTAAATAGTGTAGATGCTAATTCAACATTTTACAGTAATATTATTGATTACAATTTCAGCTTTTTGTTTATTTATTGTATTTATATATTTTCAGAATGACACAATCTTTATTGACAGTTTGTACTAAAAGGTGCACTGTATAACTTTTTTGATGGAGTCTCCATAACTTTCTTATCTCCAATTATATTTATTTATTTATGTATTTATATATTTATTTATTTATTTGCCTGGAAAGTTAATATGGCATTAGACCAGGGATCTCCAACTTTTTGCGTCCAGTAAGCTATCTTTACAAAATAAAAATATTAACAGTTACAAGAAATTGATTCGATATAAGAAGGCAAGCCTTAGATACAGTTAGATGCCTAATAAAACATTAAATCATTATCCATTTATTAGTGCACAAAGTTCAAAGTAACACATTCACAGTGGTAATTAATCAAATTTTAGTTATTTACTACAATACCTGTAATTCAGAAATCTTTTGGCGAGCTACTTGTAAGGGAGTGGAGAGCTACTGGTAGCTACTGAGCTATAGGTTGGAGACCCCTGCATCAGACGTATCCATAGAGACAAGCAAGTGGCGTGACCAGACAAAGTTACAAGTCATATCAACGAAGAGGAGAGCCAGTTCACAGTAAGAAAGCATGTTTTTAAGGTATTTTGATACTTAGCAATAACATCACCATGGAGACAACTGGGTGACGAGGTCCATCACCAGAAAAGTTACACAGTGCTCCTTTAAGCTTGTGTTTTGTAATCGTCTTTAGAGCTAAATGACTTCTTCTCTGTCACTGCGCTTTCACGCACACCAGAAAACACAGATCCTCACACTGATGTAAACACCACAGCCCAATCCCACTAAGAGCAGACTGGGAGAGGCATTCAACTGCACGGGGTAATTAAGAGGAGTGGCCTGGAGTATGACTCACTGCCACAGGAAAACTCTGCTGTTTGAAGTACAGCTCCTAAAACCTGCAGGGCCAGCACTGCACCTGCTAAATATAGACCACTTCCTCCTTCTGTGTCACACTCACTTACTTTTGGACCTTTTCGATGTAGAAGAGGTGAAAAATAGTTCATAGGTTTAAGTGACTTTGGAAAAAGCTACAACTTCAGTTAGGATGAGAAATCTGTTACAGCACTTGCCTTCAATGCTTTATATGTGGCAGTGTAGGAACGTAACAAAGTAAAAGTAATAAAGTACTGCACTTAATTACAAATTTAAGGTATCTGTGCTTTACTTCAGTGCATTTTTTAAGTTGATACTTTTTACTTTTACACCACTACATCTGAAAGCAGGTGTCTATACTTTCTACTCTAATACATTTTTGAAAAGGACTGAATAGTATTTATTTATTTATTTAGTATTATTATTATTTTTGTTGATAGTTCGAGACCTGCTGAAAAGGCTGAGGAGTCTATTTTTAACACATAATTTGAACAAGAATTTAATTTAATTTTTTCTATTGAACAAAATTCAGGAAAACAAATCTTGATTAAAATCACTGCTTTTGAAGCTGTATTAGATCTAAAAATCACCACAAAATATGTTTCCTCTTTAAGTTTTTTTTAATAATTTTACTTAAATAGATTTTTCATGTAATTCTTTTACTTTTACTTCAATTTTTCTTTTTTCTTTTTTTGCTCCTGTACGCAGTATTTTGCTTAAGTAAGAATACTGAGTACTTCTTCCACCACTGAAAACTAGTATCAAAAGCAGATACAAGTATGAAAAAATAGCATAAATAAACAGTTTTATAGTTTTAGGATCAGTCTTGAAATGTTGGTGGTTTTCAGATTTTATGCTGTGATGATGTCATGGAGCCAGATGGGGAGGAAGAGCCCATTTCCCCATTGATTTCACGGTGTTCTCATTGCAAATATCTAAAAATGAAACTCACAAATGTTGAACTCAATCATTTATATTAGTGATTAGACCCTAGAATTCTCTGTATTTCAACAAAAATCTGTATAAATTTTAGCTGCCTCCATCTGTATTAAATAATGTTGGTCCATGGAAAGTTGTGATGTCATCTGAAACACAACAATACAAAAGAACTAAGATTATTCTGAGTAGAAAATTACATTCTATTGTCTGAAAAATTGTGTTTTTCATAATCACTGTGGCATTGAAATCTGTATCAAGTATTAAGCCTTCTCCTTGGAATCTAAGTTGAAATTTTAGTATTATTGTGGTAACAATAGTGTACCAGTCAGTCTTATCTAAAACTTACATCATGCATCTATAAAGAGCCAATATTATGTTATTTTCTGATCTGTTTTATAATGTTGTTTCCTCACAAACATACCTGGAGTTGTGTTTTGTTTTATTCACATGTTTAACACACAAACCCTGCATATTTAGGCGCAGGTCATCTCTCAAGCAGAAAATCCTCTGTTCCACCTTATACTGTCATGTCATAATACAGGAAGAGCTCCACTGTGTTTTTAAATTCCATTCACCTTCAATAGATAAAGTTGGTTAATTTCTGCCCTGGAACTGCCTATCTCTACTGAACAAAAGCCAAATGGTAGTTGTTAATTTGAAAACTACTCTGGTGATCTAGACAAACTATTCATAAAGAGTTACTTGTGTGAATGAAAGAAAACACAACTCCAGGTATGTTTTTGAGGAGCCCACAAGAGTCCATGTGGTGTAATATGGCACCTTTAATGAAAAAAGTTTGAGTCTGATTAGAAAAGGCTGCAGTCTGGGTTTATCTTTTAGAGGTGACAGACATAAGGGCGAGTCGACCTCAGAAATACACTAAACAATTATTACTCCTCAAAGTCACAGCGGTACCATTTGCAGCACCATACCCCACCCCCAAACCTGAAAACTGTTTGAAATTATAAGTTTATATAATAATAATATAATTTATATAATAAGTTTTACTTTAAACTTTTGGATGACTTCACGACATCACAAGGCACAACAGAGCATTTTGAGCTTTGGAGATGTAGACAGAGTAATACACCATGATTACTCAAATCTCTGTGAATGAAACAAAACACAACTCCAGGTATGTTTTTGATCAGGTAACAAGATTCATGACTTAAAACTCAAGAATCAGTTTTGCTTAATATAGGACCTTTAAGCATGTTTAATTATCATTTTATCTGTGAGAGCTTTTACATCCAAACACAGACAAAAAAAAAAAAAAAAAAGAATTGGATTAAAATTTAAACACTGTCATTTGTTTCCCACAATACAAAAACAATTTTCTTCTAAATCTATAGGCTTTATAGACCAATTATTTTGCATTTTTTAACCAAAACGAATTATACTGGAGCCAGTATATAAGAACAAAAAACACTTGAAATTTTCTTTTATTACACTGAGGATGTGCAAAGCCTTCTTAAGTCTATTTTCTATCTTTTCTATTGCTTCGCAGAGATGACGCAACCATCAAACCTGTCTTTTGAAATGTGTGTTCAGAGTCTGGTCTGACAGTGAGGGCTGAATGGTGGGCCAAATTGCCCCTTTTGAGCAAAGATCGAGAATTATTTTGTGATGATTATGCACAACTACAGAAAGAGCTCATAATAAATAATATTTCTGTATTTGAACCACGCTTGACACAAAGAGACAACAAATAGTAATTTCAACTTGAGTGCCACTATTGTGAAGCCTATTTAAAGACGCTGTAGCTGATTTTTATCGATTTTAAACTTGAAAAATACAGCTCGGTCAATTTAAATAGTTTCCAGTGGTACAAACTTATTTTTCTCTTAATGTATGCATTCAGAACATCCTAATTATTCACCGTGAGTTTTGCCACAGTAACGTGACTAGTATGATAACTCACACTTCCTTATTTTCGGACACTTTCCAAGTAGATGTAGACAGCACGTCGCAGACTTAATTTGACCTTTGCTTATAAAATCTATGCGCACTGGGGCAGGACACATTTTGCTCCATGCATACAAAAAATCTGGTACAGGGCTTTTGACTTAAATGTCACTATGAACCAAAATCTGTAGCCTTACACTTACAATATTGCAATAGTCATAGTTATGCCCAATGCTTGACATATTAAATAAGAATGAGTAGAATAATTTATTTTTATGTGATCCAAAGCTATTACATTCACATCCGCTCCGCTAAACTGTATCCAACTGAAAATCTTTATTCTCAGAGAGGAGAAAATAT